CATTCACAAGCTGTTTCGTGTGCAAGAAAATTGTGCATCAACATTCCAGCATTCTCATTGGCACACATATTTTTCTTACTCTCATTTCTATACGCTCCTTCTTGAAAAAACGTATTTCTTTTTACTTCAGTCTTTTACGCTAGAGTCCTGCACGGGTGCACTTTTTTGTACCCGAAACCGAACCGGCGATTTTTTTTTGCGCCCGAGCCCGAACCGACCCGGATCGAATAAGTTAGGCCCGAACCGGTCTACCCAGTTATTTTTCAAAATATGATCAAATTTCTAAACCTTTATTTCATTCAATAAATATAATACGTCTAGTTTCGTTCATAAGTAAGGGTAGGACAGTTCATAGTTCTAAGTTCAGATGAACTGGTCAAAAGAACTATTATACAGTTCCTAAGAACGTAACTAATATGGAACTGTCCTACCCCTATTCATAAGTAACAAAGAAAAATATATATTATGTAAAACTACGTAAAAAAATAAGTGAATCAGGAGTTAGCTGAAGATGTGGATCTTGCTCTTATCTCACATCCACACACACACACAAGCCCACACCTACATCCACCTTTCGTAATGTAAGATGTTAATTAACAAAACAATAAAAGCTTTTTATCCGAAACATAACAAAAGCTATTCAAAGAAACTAAACTTTTCTTTATGAAATATTTCAATGACTAATGGGTCGTTTAATCATTATTAGATTTATTGTGACTTCATTTTTCATATTAGTAATAGTATCTGAATAAAATGTTACAAATTTGGTGATGTCATTGGTTGTCGGTTCGGGTCGGGTATACACTCCTACCCGGGACCCGAACCGAATTTTTTTTAACGCCCGATGTCCGAACCGACCCGGCGAATTTTACCCGGTACCCAGGTCCGAGTCGGGCCGGGTGTCGGGTACCCGTCCGGTTTGCAGGACTCTAGTATATGAACGGAGTGAGCATGGAGATTGATTGGAGATGGCAACAGAATTTAATTCGAGGAAACGGTCGGGTGGAATATTATTGCCCGAATCAAAATAGGACGTGGAATTGTCCTGGAAAAATACCCGATTAAATAGATGCACCTCAAGACTCATAACTGAACCGTTTGGTGTTGAAGCCCATATATATATATATATATACGGACTGAACTTTTTCTCATATAACTGTCGTTACAATCTCATTTAGACTCAATCTAAAAGACCCACCTCCGTTTTTCTTATTTTGCTGATATTATCTTGTCGCTGTCCTGCACCACTATACATATACTCATATTCTCTCTCCTACATTCTGACATGTGTGCTTCCCACTTTCTACCTCATTCAAATAAATTCTCTTTCTTTTTTTTCCTATATGGTTTGCCGTATAAATAAAACTGTCGATTCCCAACGAGAAGTGACATATACTCTGGGTATATATTCTCACACGATCAAATAAAATTCTCAATTCTATCCATAAGTTTTTTGCTAGATACGGCCATGAATATTGATTCTGAAGGTAAATTTGAAATGGAAACTGAAGAAGTTTATTCGTCAGACGTAGATAAATAATAATAAAATTTCTTGGCGGCGTGGGTGTTATACTCAATCTAGTTCTGCACCCTCAAGTTGGTACCTATTTCTTTGTTACACACAGATTTATATTATATAACATATTATCGATAATTTGAGAAAAAGAAGAATATTATTACCTTTAACGTAATAAATATAGTTATCTCAAGATCAAAATATTGTATCGCAAGAATGAAAATAGAACTACTTTTATATCTTCTAATTTCGCCATCCTTATCATAAAGTATCTCTCGCTTTTCTTCTCTTTCTATGCAGCGATGCAAGTTCGCAGTTATTATAGACAACGTGATTCTTTTTCATTGTTTTATGCAATACTCTTTTGATGACATGCACATCATACGAAATTAGAATGACTTTTTAGAGATTCTTCAGTATCGAACTTGTTTTCAGATATTGACTCAACACGACTGTATATACATATATGGATATAAGTTAATCGAAAGATTATAGTGGTGGTCAGGGAATGTCAATTGATTGATAACATGACTGGCTTAGATTAAAATTGATAAGAAAAATCACATGATAAAAGAATTCGTTAAGTTATAATCGAATACTTTCCTCATTGACAAGTTTTTTCAAAATATGAATTGTGCTTATTTAAAAGACATTCTATTCTATAGTTCTTGTCATAAATAATGTTTCCGATATCTTCTTTGAATTTATCTAATGATCCAACATGAATTGTCGTTCAATTTTCTTTTTTAAAAACTGGACTACTAATTTTACAGATATAGTTATACAATATGTCCGCATACTTATCTATCTAACTACAATGGAAACAAACTGGCAGATCTCTTATTTATTTTTATGAATGAGTACAAGATATTGACTGAAACAACTATTTACAAAAAGCAAAGCAAAAAAAGAAAAAGTGAACAAAAATATATATTGCTTACGAGAAGAACCATTACACACAATAAAGCGAAAGAAACAAATCACTGTAAATAATTATAATAAGCGAAGAACAAAAAATTTTTGGTGTTGACTATGACAAATCAACTCAATATCTTTATGAATTATATTGATACAATGTTCTGGTCATGTTTATTATACAATTCTGGAGCATTTATAGACTCTTCTTTCACACCCACGGTTTAATTTCACTTCCATTGATAGAAGAGTTGCTTGCTAACGGTCCTTTATAGTATATTGTTGCATTAAATGATGCGACCGCATAAATTGCGCTTGTAGCACAAACATAGACTACTGCTAGATCAGTGGCAGTAACATTCACAACTGAAGAGCATCGAAACTCATCTGTCAATACCGTCGAATTTTTAGCATAAATATTCGTATTCATACTTGAACAAACATTAAAAACATTGCTACCATTACTTGCAGTTATACTGAAGTTTGAAGGACACGGTTGTGTCGAATTATATACGAAAGTTGAATTGATAACATTAATAATCATCGAATTCAGTGCACAAAACGATAACGTATTATTTACATTAGTTGCAGTTACAACTGTTATCTGTGGACATAACCATGAAGTATTAGACTCAACAATGGCTAAGTCATAAACTTCGACATCTAATTCAACGTTGGCACATAAATTGGTGATATATGCTTGTTCCGAAGCGACAACATACGCCATATCTGGACATACAATAGACGAATTGATAATCAGCCCTGATGTTTTATGTACATGCATTTGAAGTTCATTATAAGCACAAATACCAGATATTGATAAGTTACTTGAACTATTGACTGATACATATGTTGGACATGACCAAGTGTGATTAATTGAAACATTCGCCATATCTATAGCTTGAATAGTTAACTGCATCGTAGCACAGAGATTTGTAATCATCGAGGTTCCTGAAGCTACAACACTTGTATTCTGTGGACATAAAACAGTTGAATCGACATTGAGAATGGATGATCCGTTACTAGTCAATTCTAACGTCTTTTGTGCACAAATATTGAGAATTGGAATGGTACTGGAACTAGTAAT